GCTCTCGTGTTGCACTGTTCAGTCTGCCAAGATTATCATCATTAACTGGTTCTTCCATAAGAGAATCAATTGTGTCTTGAAGCTCTTTCTTCTTTTGAAAGGCAAGCTGCTTATGGCTCTTTTTCCATCCATCTAACTTACTACCCAGTTACAGTAATTTATCAAGAGTGGAACCTTGCTCCATGGTCCACGTGGAATCCACAATATTAGATCATTTCACCTTTTTTGTCCAATAATTTTCAAAGTGGAGCTTTTTTACGAGCATGGCTAGTTTGCATTTTCACATCCCATTTTGAAATCACAGGGATTCCCGCATGGTCTGATTCATTTGTTAAAATCGTAGAGACAATCACTTGAGGGAAAGCCAACAACCATTCACGAGAGGCAACGAACCTGTTAAGAAGCTTCCTAAGATGGTTTCGAGCATGGTTCCCAAAAAACAACGTGATTGATGTCTAACAAAAGGATCATAGGACGAATCATTAGAGGCATATTTACATACATTGGCCTGCATATCATCATTGACTTGAGAACAATGTGAGGCAGCCCCTTGAAGTTTTGATCAAACCGATACCAGCACCGGTCTACTAAATGTCCAAGTTTACCACACAACTGAGATTGATGTCTTGGTCGCCCTTTATACTTATTACTAGACTTACTCTTCCCATGATTATCACCAGAAAATGTAATCTACTGGTCTTGATCACTATCACGACGACCCTTACCAAAACTGCTTCGTCCATCACGATCATGCCTGGTCATGTTAATGCTGACAGGCAACTTCATAGGATCCTTCAAACGAGCCTCTGCATCCAGTAGCACAAAAGTTACAGTATCAAAGGAATATGGTTCACGACTTACCGTGATAGCCGCCACAAATGGTTCAAACTCCATTGAAAGACCATTCAACAAGGTAATGATATTCTCGACTTTTGAAACAGGGTTCCCACAAGAGAAAAGCAAGTCACAAATTTCCTTGATCTATGTGGAAAACACACGAACAGAAGAATCACCCTTCCTGAGAGAACAAAGTCGCCTATGTAAGCTCATGACCTTGGTTGTACTCAACTTTGAATACATCTTAAGAGCATCACTCCAGATCTCTACTGAAGTTTCCACTCCCAACAACTGCAGAAGTATCGAGGGACTTATGGTTGAAGGAAGCCACAATGCCATCAAACTATCTAATGTCTTATGAAGGCGTTACGCTAATCTCACCACGATTATCGACAACCGTCTGCAAGGGAATCGGAATCGCCAGATCCAACAGATGCTCAAGCTCATGACCATGGACCATAAGAATCACCTGTTGCTTCCAAAGAAGAAAGTTAGTATCATCAAGACACATTAATTTGTTTGTTAACAAAAGGGGCTATGTTGTTGTTGTTGTATTTAGTCTCCTGAGTCAACACTTTTAAGTTTGACTTCATTAGACTAAATGGGCCAAAATATAACAAACTAATAACAACCCAAGAAATAGCAAAGCCGCTCAAACAAACAAAGTTTTGAAATAATCCCAATATTCACCCCACTACAATATTTCTTGAAAAAACTTATTGCAGTTGATGCAAGGGCACGACATTCAAACATAGCCTCAATTCATTGAAATGAGTAATAGTAAGAGGTTTTGTAAACACATCGGCAACTTGAAATTGAGCAGGAACATAATTCACATCCAACACCTGACCAAGCACCTTTTCATAAACAAAATGTACATCTAAGTCTACATGCTTGACTTTAGCATGTAGAACAGAGTTAGCAGCCATGGCAACAATACTTGGGTTGTCACACCAAACGACTGGTTTCTGAGTTAATTAATGCCCTTATCAGTTAACACAACTTTAATCCAAACCATTTCAGAAGTAACATCTACAAGACTATAATACTCTACCTTCGTAATGGACTGAGAAACCACACGTTGCTTCTTAGAATTCCATGACAACAAATGTTGACCTAAAAATTCACAGTACCCAGATACAAACGATGATCATTCTGGTCACTACCCCGATAGACATCTAAAAAACCTTTGAGAAGCAAGGCAACGATTAAAGAGCTATCCACAATCCACAATCAAGAGTACCCTTGAGATAATGGATAATACATTTAACTCCCGACCAGTGAGCATCACATGGTTGTTGCATGAATTGAGCCACGTTATGAACAGCAAAAAAGATGGTTGGTCTTGTATGACATACGTACAACAGGGCTCAAACAACACTCCGATATTGTTTTGCATCAACAGATTCACCACTGTTGTCTTTGCCCAACTTGGGTGAGACAATAGTCGATGTATCAACAGAACTGGATGACCACATACCAAAATTTTCCATAAGATCTTCAACATACTTCCTCTGGCTCAGAAATAATCCAGAGGATGTTCGAATAGATTCTATACCCAAGAAGTAATGATTAAGCCCAAGGTCTTTCAACGAAAATTTTGCATTAAGCATTTGTATAACCTGCTGATCACAACTCTCAGATGATTTAGTCATAAGAATGTCATCGACCTAGACTACACGAGAAGGAACAAAACCCAAAGAACACAAATAATCACACAATTTATTAAACCAATTGTAAGGAGCCTTGCGAAGCCCATACAGAGCCTTCTTCAGCTTGCAAACAAGCGGCTCACCATGACTGCCAACTTGTTCAAAACCATTCAGTTGCCACATATAGACTTCAGACAAATATCCCTTGAGAAACGCATTATTGACATTGATGAACCTGCCAACTACGAGAGACAACAACAGACAAAAGAATGTTTAGAGTAAAAAATGAAACATATCAATAAAGTCACACCCAGCTACTTGAGAGTATTCCTTGGCTACAAGCCTTGCTTTATAGCGATTAATTGACCCATTCGAGTTAAACTTGACTTGAAAGAGCCACTTGCACCCAATAGCTTTCTGATCATGAGGTAATAAAACTAATTCCCATGTTGCATTATCAATTAATGCCTTGTATTATGCCTCAACAACCCCACGCCAGTCAGGGTACTGCAAAGTAACCTGCACAGAGGAAGGTATATCAGTAAGCATCGAATGGTAGACCTTAGGTTTAAAGATACTCGTTTTACTTCGAGTAAACATTTTGTGTGTGCTACTCTAACCAGAAACCAGAATAGCAACTGTAGTGACTTCATTTTCATGTTCTAGATTGTCATCGAACGGTGCCACAACATCAAATGAAGGCACCTGGGGACTAGCTGAGGCCACCTCATTCAATTCATTAGAACTTGCCTCCTCATGACTAGAGACCAGATCCGCATCATGCACATCCAAATAGTGATTTAGGGCATCATTATTAACCCCATCAGTATCAACATGTGAAGGAACGTTATTTGAAGCACCAGGTATAATCCTTGGTATAGCCTCATCTTGCACCACTACACGACTGTCTAAAGGAAACAGAGTCACCCATTCCAACGGAGCAGATTCAGGTATCTTCGCAGTAGAGGACTTAATTGTGGAAAAAGGAAAAATAGAATCAGTAAATTTTACATGACGAGAAATGTAGATGCGACTTGGCTTATCAAGAAACTAATATCCATGATGTTGGGGTGAATACCCCAGAAAAACACAAGCTTTGGACCTGTAGGTAAATTTAGATTGATTATAGGCTTTTAAGCACGTATAACATTGACTGCTAAACACCTTAAGGAACTGATAATTAGGTACCTTCTCATACAACTTTTGAAAAGGTGAATCCCACCAAACACCTTCGAAGGCAACCTATTAATTAAGTACAAAATAGTAAGCACAAAAATGACCAATATTTAAACAGGACCGAGGACTGGGCAAGCAAGGTTAAGGAAATGTCAATTATATGACGATGTTTACGCTCAATTACACTATTTTGTTACGAGGTTCAAGGGCAGGTAACACGATGCTTTATCTCAGTAGTTGCAAGAGAACCTTCAAAAGCAGGAAACTCTCTACCACCATCAGTTTAAAGAGCTATTATATTAGTGTTAAACTGATTTTTCACTAGAGCATGAAAAATGTTAAAATCTTGTAAAACTCTTATTTCGCAATAAATATACATGTCAATAAAAGAAACATAATATTTTCATCCTCCAAATTTAATGGGTGTAGGACCCTACATATCATTTTCAACCAATTAAAAAGGAGAATTATACACAATAGAGGAACTACTAAATGGAAGCTTATGATTTTTCCCTAAATGACGTGCAGAATAGGAATTAACAATATCAATAGGTTTTATGCTAGTAAACAAGACAGTAATAGTACTAGATACATGATTTCCCAAGCGATGATGCCACAACCAGTAGTTTTTGTCATGCTCAGAAAGCATTATTTCAGTGGATGGAGTAGTAACATTATGTAGAGTGCCATGAGACTGACCAAGAAGTTCAAAACAATATAAGCCATACTCAAGTTTACCTTTTAGCTGAACAACACCAGTTTGTTCATCATTCACAAAATATTTATCGGAGTGAAATTCCAAGTAAACATGATTGACATGTGTAAATCTAGATGCATATAACAAATTTCGAGTAATTTGAGGCACATGTAATATATGATTGAGCTTTAAATTACAATCATCAGTGGCAAGAAGAACATTATCAATGTGTGATATTTGCAATGATGGCCCATCACTAAGAAATACTTTACTTGAGCCCAGATATGGCCTAGCTGCAATAGATGAAACATTTGAAACATGATGCGTAGCACCAGATTCAGGGAACCATTTATTTGAAACATTCAAGACTCATTTCTCAATGAGAGCATTGACTTGAGCAATATCATCGTTGCCAAAATCAATAGCAACTTCAAAACATGCAGAAGAACTCACAAAAAGATCATAGGACGAATCATTAGAGGAATATTTATATACATTAGCCTGCATATCATCATTGAGTTGAAAACGCTGCGAGGCAGCCCCCTTGAAGTTTTGATCGAACTGATGCCATCACCGGTCTACTAAATGTTCAAGTTTACCACACAAGTGAGATTGATGTCTTGGTTGCCCTTTATACTTATTACTAGACTGCCTCTTCCCATGATTATCACTAGAAAATGTAATTTGATGGTCTCGATCACTATCACGATGACCCTTATCATAATTGTTTTGCCCATCACGATCATGTATGGTCATGCTAATGCTAACAGGTAACTTTATAGGATCCTTCAAACGAGCGTATGCATCCAAGAGCACAAAAGTTATGCATCCATGATAAAGAGATAGCATTTACAACTCTCTAGCTTTTCAAATGATAAGCTATAACCAATCCCTTTTACAAGGTTAAAAGATGTAAACAAGAAAAAACTCTCAAAAGGAAGGTGAAAATTATCAGTGGTAAAACTCTCATAAGAAAACAGTAAAAAAGATTTACAATGAGCTCAAAAACACTTATGTACAAGAGAAAAAGAAAAATAAGAGTTAAAGAGCTTTTCTCTAGATCTTAATTTATTGGATAGGTGTTGTAACATTCTTCAAGTGTCCTCAACTTGTTTTATATGTTGGAATAAGTTTGTGCCCGTTTCCAGCCGTTGGGGATTAATTTTTTGTAAAACAAAACTGCCCAAGACATGAGTATCGGTAATCCTGTAAAGAGTATCGATACTACCTTTGTAATATTTAAATAAACTAGCTGTTAAAAACCATTGGGCTTGACCAATATCGATATTATGCTTCATGGTATCGATAATACTGTGTAAAGTAGTATTGGTACTGTAACACCCCTAACTCGTACTCGACTTGGATACGAATCCGATGTGTCGCATTAACTATTCAAATAATAGATTATTAACAAATAAGGACAATTTAAACTATTATTCATAGTAAAAAGATATAACCCTTTAATTTAAATTAAATAATAAAACTCACATTCAAACCTAAATAAAGCCTTTAATAATTTACATAAATACAAAAGTATGAGTTTACAAAAATAGATCATAGCATTTCAAATTAAACGTGTAGTACATGCCAACAATTTACATTTTACAAAACCTATATTTAATTTGTCTTGATATGATCTGATCTTCATGGGAGTATGTTATCCTCGACTAGCTTCAACCTTTCGCTTTCTTCAAACCTACGCGTGAAGAAAACACACGCTAAGTCAATGACTTAGTGAGGTAATTACGAGCGAAATATACTTTAAAAATAAAATCTTTATTTATTTCATAGAAATATAGCATAAGAATTCAAATTGTTTTCTATAACAAGAATGTATACTTTTTATACATTATTCGTTTTATATAACTTTGTATCCAATGTCCAATGTATAATATTGAGAACTCTAGGTATTTGAGTACATTGAGGTTGTGCACTAATACTGTCACCTCAGTTCGTATAATTTGCACCGAAGTGCCACATATTTGTCCCAAAAGACCACATAGGTTTTGTCCCGAATGACCACATAGTTTTATCCTGAAGAACCACATAGGTTTGTCCCGAATGACCACATAGAACCCTCGACTCTTGGCATGCCAACTATACCTCTAATCCTCATACATATACCTTGGGCTTTTAATCACATAATTATTTGTCATTCATAATTTGAAGTAGATCTTGTTCACATAGGTATTTTCATATTAAGTATTTTCATATACACATGTTCACATGTCAAGTTTTCATAATCATGTACACATAATCATCAAACATAGCTTAAATAATATAAATTGAATAAAACATTGTAAAAATATATATAACATAAAATAAATTGAAATGTTTTCGATCGAAAACACTGAGGTTGGCTTATCACAAGCCACCCCCAATTTTAATACAAAATAAATAAGTTACACTCACATTTGCCTCACTGCAATCCTACACGAAATCCTTATCACTTTAGATCAATAATCTATAACTTCAAAATGTTCGGAATTCGACTTTGATCAACGTCTACAAAAGAACAATCGAAAATAAATATCGCAATTCAAATCTCTTATAACCATTCATAATAACTTAAGCGGAAAGAAACACTTAATTTATCATTTCATGATCAATAGTATCGGTACTCCCACTACAATACTGATACTTCCCTTCTATGGTATCGATACCCACCTTCGGTACCGATACCATTTCGGCATTCTGGAATTTTAATTTGATAACGGTATCGATATTATACCATTGGTATCGATATCCCCTTTCAGTATTGATACCTTCTTCAAACAGTACCGATACTGCTCTTCGAATTGGAACTGATTTTTCCTTTAAGTATCGGTATTGTTCTTCCAATATCGATAGCCCATGCCCAGAATTACCATCTCCAAATCAAAATTTAACCAAAACTTACTTAAATATCATACTTTTATCTCCTTTTATGCCTTTAAACTAAACTTCCTTAATTAAAACCAACTTTACTCTATTTACTACTCCCAAACATACAAAATCTCACTAAACACTTACATATAAAAATAATATCATATTTTTAATCATGTTCTTAATCCATTCTAAACTTCCTATCTCCTCCATTAGACCATTGACAAGTCAAATTTAACAATATAAGTCCAAAAACTCAACCACATCAACAATGCATTTCAAAACCCATTTTGCAAATTCATTACTAATTCACTCTTCTTTTAGTTTTAATCCTCTACAAGTTTTTCTTAAGCTTATAAAACACCCAAGCTTTCAACACCAACCCAAAAATTGAAGGAACAAACAACTTACATAAACTTACCTTTGAAGTGAAGCTCACGGGAACGAAGAAGAAGACAATAAATGGTTCCATACTTTTCTCCCTTTATCCACATACTTATCCCTTAAGAAAAGAGATAAAAATATTTCATTGAGAAAAGACCATACTGCCCCTCCTATAATAAAATTTTAATATAAAGTCTTAACTAAAATTCCATAATAAATCCTTGAATTTTTCAAACTATTCTAATAAAACCACTAGGTTTTGAATTCTTATATTTTGGTCACTGACCCGATAATTGGGATATTACAAATCTCCCCCTTAAGAAAATTCAACCCTGAATTTTTATTACATAAAGAGGTGGGGATATTGCTTCCTCATATCTTCTTCACATTCCAAAGTAGCTTCTTCTACCTAATGATTTCTCTAAAGAACTTTAACTAGCGGAATTGTCTTGTTCCTTATCTGCTTGATTTCATACGTAAGAATTTGTACCGGTTCTTCCTCATAGGTCAGGTCAGATTGATCTTCTATCTCATTTGGAGTTATGATGTGCGCAGGATCTAATCGATATCGCCGAAGCATAGACACATGGAAGACACTGTGGATATTTTTCATCTCTGATGGCAAATCTAACTGATATGCCACTGGTCCAACTCTTTTCAGAACTTCATAGGGTCCAATGAACCTAGGACTGAGTTTTCCTTTATGCCCAAAATGAAGTACTTTCTTCAAAAGTGACACTTTTAGGAAAACCTTGTCACCAACTTGAAATTCAATTTCTTTCATCTTCAAATCCGCGTATGATCTTTGTTTGTCTGATGCCACTTTAAGATTATGTTGGATTACCTGAACTTTTTCTTCAACTTTTTAATCAAATATGTGCCATGAACTTCCCGATCTTTTTATTCGTACCAATTAAGTGGCGTTCTACACTTCCTTCCATACAATGCCTCATATGGTGCCATTTTAATGCTTGATTGATAACTATTATTATATGCAAATTCCACCAACGGAAAATACTTTTCCCATGATTCATGAAAATCCATCACTCACGTTCTCAACATATCTTCCAGAATCTTAATCGTTTGTTTCGATTTGCCATCGGTTTGAGGATGAAAATCAGTACTAAAGTTCAATCGAGTACCCAACGTTCTTTGCAAAGATTTCCAAAATCATGAAGTAAATATTGGATCTCTATCAGTTATTATTGAAACTGGTACTCCATGCAGTCGAACTATCTCCTTGAGATATAATTCAGCATGTTTTTCCATTGAGTAATTTGTTCACACAAGAATGAAATACGCAGTCTTTGTGAGGTGATCCATAATTACCCAAATTGAATCTTTTTTATTCCTGATACAAAGTTCATCGTAACCCTATCTCACTTCCACTGAGAAATCGAGATCGGTTGCAATAATCCTGAAGGCACTTGATGTATAGTTTTTACTTGTTGACAAATAAGACACTTTGAAACAAAATATGTAATACCTCTTTTCATGCCTGGCCACAAAAAACATTCTTTCAAATCGTGATACATCTTGTTCCCTCTTGGGTGCATAGTTAAGGGACTACAATGTGCTTCATACATTATATCTCTTTTCAACTCGTCAACATAGGGAACACAAACTCAATTTTTGAAGTATAAACACTTATTCAACTTTACTTCAAAGTTCTTAAGTTCACCCTTTTCTATTTGCTCAAACCAGGTTAAACATTTCTCATCCTTCTTTTATAACTCTTGAATCTACTCTAGTATTAACGATTTTAACTTTAACTCAACCATCAGTGCACCATTATTCTTTAACACGATTCGGGCATATAATCTACGTAAAGAAGCAAAAGTCTTCTGACTAAGAGCATCAGCTACTACATTGGCTTTTCCGGGATAGTAATCTATAATCCCATCATAGTCCTTGAGTAATTAATCCATCTTCTATCTCTCAAATTAAGTTCTTTTTGAGTCAACAAATACTTTAAACTTTTGTATTCGGTGAAAATATAACAACGCTCACCATATAAATAGTGACACCAAATTTTCAATGCAAAAACCATTGCTACCAATTAAAGATCATGCGTCAGATAGTTCTTCTCATGAGGATTAAGTTGTCTTGAAGCATTGGCAACTACCTTTCCATCTTGCATTAATACACATCCCAAACCATTATGGTAAATGTCGCTAAAAATCGTAAAATCCTTGTTTGATTCCGATTGCACTAACACCAAAGCTTCCGTCAAAACTTTCTTCAATGCTTCAAAACTCTTCTGACAATCAGGGGTCCAATTAAAAGAGACGTCTTTTCTTAATAACTTGGTCAAAGGTAGAGATATCATCGAAAAGTTCTTAACAAACCTTCGATAATAACCTACAAGACCCAGGAAACTCTAAACTTTTGACACATTCTTCAAAATTTTCCACTCTAGAACAACTTTTAATTTATGAGGATCCACTCGAATTCCCTCTGCAGAAACCACATGTCCAAGGAATGACACTTCATTTAACCAAAACTCGCACTTAGAAAACTTAACATAAAGCTTATTGTCTTGTAATGTTTGAAGAATCACACTAATATGGGCATCATACTCCTTCGTTGTCTTCTAATACACTAAAATGTCATCAATAAAAACGACCACGAACTGATCAAGATACGGTTGGAAAACTTTGTTCATAAGGTCCATAAACGTTGCAGGCGTGTTAATTAACCCGAATGACATTACTACAAATTCGTAATGATCATACCAAGTCCTAAACGCAGTTTTTGAAACATCTTTTCCTTGTATCTTAAACTGATGATAACCAGAGCGTAAATCGATTTTAGAAAACACTACAACTCCCTTGAGTTGATCAAATAAATTGTCGATCCTTGGAAGATGATACTTGTTCTTTATGGTAACCTTGTTAAACTGTCGATAATCAATACAAAGACGCATTGAACCATCTTTCTTCTTTACAAATAATACTGGAGCACCCCAAGGTGACACACTGGATCTGATAAATCATTTAACTAAAAGCTCTTGTAATTGAATTTGGAGCCATCCTATAAGGAGCCATTGAAATTGATGTTGATCATGTCATCACTTCAATCTGAAATTCAACCTCCCT